AAAACACACACACACACTCGCCATGTCAAAAACCACACTGGCCTCTCACCCCCCCTCTTTTGTTTCCAGTTGGGGCACTCTCTCCTCACTTGAAAGAGGGAAGAAATACCCAGTCAGTTCAAATTGAAACCAGATGAATTTCGTTTAATCAAAATAAAAGTTTGGTAGCCCACGAGTTGAACTCTGAGCTTCATTATCCGCTGTCACAGAGCCCCATTCTTACGCCCACACCGGTAATAATTCTATCGAGTGGTGTTTTCTGCTAGCAATTTAGCTCATGCACCAGAAAAAGAAAATTGGTTTTGATTCTGGCATCGCTCCTCGTCTCCGCTGTAGCACTGCGCCTCCACATTTCTGGCAAATCTCAACAATCAGCGACTGTTTTTGGACCAACTATTACCCTTTAAAGCAGGGGTGGCTCTTTCTGAGGTTTTCCCGTGGCAAATGAGCTAGCATTCTTTGGACTCGATTTTGCCGTAAATAATGGATGAAATACAGTGTTTATTAACAGCCTGGTTTTCATGGTAGATTTCTCCTGTTTAATTAGATTTTTACATGGTCTATCACTTTGGAAATTGGACGTTTGTCATATGTGCATGGCTGTGTTCATGGTTCGGAGGGGGCAATCGCAGATGACAGCTCAGCCCCCTCAGGAGGGGTGTGTGTTTATGTATGTAAACACATTAAGTACAGAGGACATATGGAGAGGGAAGGACAGAAAAGGCCTCAGCGTGCTTCAAGCACACGAGGCTGTACAGTGTTTCCAGTGGAAGTGAATTGAACAAATGTGGATAAATAACAACGCTTCAGGTTGTACACACAATCGGGAAAAAAGACAGGAGTTTAAATTTGGAAAAACCTTCCCACCTCGCCTATTACTGCATTATAGACAAACTGCAGATTTTAAAAAGTTGTTGGACGCAGCCCACATTCCCAAATCTGCTGTCAGAAACGGGGTGGATGTTCAGACCGCAAACCCCGAGGAAAAATAAATCAAAAGGCTGTGCTGGTGGCGAGACAATGAAATACGATCCAGTTTTAGTAACAGATCAGTGAGTTTGAAGGCTTATCAGGCGCCCATTGACTGCATATCCATCCAAGTGAAGCGAATTTATTTATCACGATAATCATTTAATCCTTCACTGTGACAATCTACCTGAGAATCGCTTTACTATGTAATCCCCCAGAAAATGTGCCGACGCAGCGTCATCCAAAATCGCAGATTGATACTCATCAGCCCACGTGCTGCATCATTTCCTGTTAGTACAAAGTGGTACATTGAACACTGTACGATGCAGATAATTACAGAG